AGAGACTCATCAGCCTTTGGGTTGCCACCTGCATTATTGATTGCTCTGAGAAGAGGATCAGTTACCACATTTCCAAGGCCGTTGCTGCGGGCCGTGGGTTAAAGATGGCACCAATAATTCCTTTAGTTTAATAAAATGTTACTTCAGTGGACAGTGAGGTTATGCATGTTATGTATGATCCATTACAGAGCCAGTAATGCCTCTGTTGATACCAACAAAATATGAGCGAGTGAGCTAAGAGTCCAATGGAAACAACCACTGCTTAAACTAGTTTCATTTTACATTTTATATTTGTGTTTAATAGAGCTGCTTAATTAGGGCGAGACAAACTGAGAGTGTTTATCAACTATAGTTATAAGAAAAAACATATAATAATAATAATAATAATTAAAAAATGTAAAACAGAGTGTTTATCAACTATAGTTATAAGAAAAAACATATAATAATAATAATAATAATTAAAAAATGTAAAACAGAGTGTTTATCAACTATAGTTATAAGAAAAAACATATAATAATAATAATAATAATTAAAAAATGTAAAACAGAGTGTTTATCAACTATAGTTATAAGAAAAAACATATAATAATAATAATAATTAAAAAATGTAAAATATATACAGGTATGTATGTACATAAATATTTGTTGTTATTGTTATTATTATTATTAGTAGTAGTCGTAGTAGTATCAACAATCATTTGCAAAACAGTCTCATTTTATTCTTGTATTTTATTTTATAATAATAATAATAATAATAATAATAACAATCTTTAACTGCTGTTATATTATTTGCATAAACAATTTATTTTATGTTTGTGTTAAATGACAAGGGGATGCTAGGTTAAAACAACAATAATAATGGGATACTAGGTTAAAACAACAACAACAACAACAATAACAATAATAATAATATGTTATTATTCATATGCAATTATTAATATGCAATTATTAATGTGCAATTATTATTTACAGAGTAACATCCTCATATGGTTGTTTGTTTGTTTTATATTGGGAGCTAATATAATCATATCAGATTACATTCCTGTGATACATGTATGGAAAGGAATTGAAAATGTTTTTTAGCCACACAGAGTTCAGTGACTGCAGAAAAAAAAACACCATTACATGAAACATCAGTCAAAATAAAATAAATAAATAAATAAATAACCAACCAAACAAACACTAAATAAGCAAATAAATAAATAAATAACCAACCAAACAAATAATAAATAAGTAAATAAATAAATAAATAACCAAACAAATAAATAAGCAAATAAATAAATAAGGTAATAAATAAATAAATAAATAAAACTGCCATGATCTCTTGTGTAATTGTGCTATTTGGTCTCTTGATCCAGAAAAATACCCTGTGGAGTCCTCTTGTAATTAGTGCCATGGTTTTCTTCTAATGCAGGTCTAGATAACTGAAAATACACAGAGGTATCTGGAAATCGCATAAAGAGCACACACTGATCATGCTGAATGAATGCCAACTACTGGTGAGGACAGCACCATGAGGGATGTATTAAAGAGAATAACAGAGAAATAAAGAGAGGGAAACAAGCCTGCATCACCTAGTGTTCAACCCTTCTGTGCAACAATGTTTCCACACAATGCCACTTTTTTTTTTTTTGAGTGGGTTGAAGCAATGACTTGCTTCACACAGTATCTCCCCTAATGCGCTGCTGCAACGGCCTGTCTGCGGTATTAACCTAATCTCCCTTCACAAAAACATGTGAGAGAGGGAATAACAGCACCTTTGCTATACCAACCTGATTTTATAAATCTGAAAGATCCCATAATATGTAGTATGCAAAAAATGGAGGGAACAACGAGAGAAACAAACAGCAACCCTTCTGTGCAACAATGTTTCCACACAATGCCCCTTTTTTTTTTTTTGAGTGGGTTGAAGCAATGACTTGCTTCACACAGTATCTCCCCTAATGCGCTGCTGCAACGGCCTGTCTGCGGTATTAACCTAATCTCCCTTCACAAAAACATGTGAGAGAGGGAATAACAGCACCTTTGCTATACCAACCTGATTTTATAAATCTGAAAGATCCCATAATATGTGGGAGTTTGAATGTAGTATGCAAAAACTGGAGGGAACAACGAGAGAAACAAACAGCAGGTGGCGCTAGCTACAAAGAATTGTAGGTTTTTTGTTTTGTTTTGTTTTTTTTACAAAGAATTGTGGTTGCGTTTTTGTCGTGCATTAACTATCACTATGTCATTGTTCTTGAGTTATGCAACAAAATTTTGCTTCCAATGATTTTAATCCCAAATATTGTGTTTTAATACTCGGTTTTCAACTTTTAGAAATGCAGGAAACACCACCAAGACCAGCCCAGGGACCCTAGTGATAAATACAGTCTAAAAACTTTCATTAAAAACATTAGGTCGCATTCCATACACAGATTGATATTAATATTATATAATAATTGTATGTATATATATATATATATATATATATATATATATATATATATATATATATATATATATATATAT